CAGAGGTGAAATTCCCTGGACAAATTTGGCCAAGTGCTGAGTGCTTCCATAGGATCCTGGCAGGAGGATCCCGCTGTTTGTCCAGGGAATGCGGGGAACAATGAGCGTTTCGCTGCCCGCTTTATCAATTCCTTATCTATTAATTACCCAAACTTCCTCTATTAAGATTATTGGGGCCACATCTCCTCCTCTGCAATGTTGCCAAACGGGTTTTGCATTCAGGGTTTCTCTCTCAGTATCCAGAGCTGCTTTTCCAGCTTGAAAATCCAGTGGAATTCTCTCTTTTAAGGTTAAAAATATTCCCTACGGATCGTCAGCGTGGCAATCTTTATTTGAACAGAAAGATTTTCTCTTGGCAGTGTCATTTGCTGGGAAAAAAGCCTGGAACATTTCATTTCTCCAAGCGAGCAGAAGGTACCAAAACAGGAATGTTTGTTCTTTTCCGTACAAGGTTGCCCTGAGTTTGGAGGGATTTGTTTTTTGCCTTGACTTTTTTACATCTCCAAACTTTTATTTTTGTGCCTTCCCGTAACCCCGAGCTCCTGAATCACTCCGGGCTATGAATCAGCCTGCCCTGATTAACACTTTGTGCTCCTGCTGGGATATCTGGCTGCTCATCCCTCCCCAAACACGGGAATTCTGCTGCACGCGGAATCCTCGAGGATCTTTTCCAGGGAAGGGACACGGCACAACCTAAGCCAGCAGGGATGTTCCTCCTAGAGCAGCTTCCCAGTAAACAGAGCCACGTTTAGAGTGTAAAAACATTTTATTTTGCTCTCCTCAGATCCTAAAATATCCCAGCCAGGCTGCTCCGAGCTCGGGTCAATCCATCACGGAGTGTTTTGAGCGCTGCTCGGCTCTGCTTCTCCTCAGGGTGAGGAGCCGGGAAAACTTCCAGGATCATTCCAGATCATCGTCCGTGACCTTTAACTCACCTGGACTGGCTTCAGATCCATGCCAGGGCTGCCCCTTGAGCGGCCCCGAGTCAGGATCCTCGCGGGATCGGGCGGGTGACTCAGCCGGGATCTGGGAGGGCTGCAGGGAGAGAAAAGCACCCCAGGCCCGGTGCCACTGCTCGGGCTGGAATGGGACCTCATCATCATCATCATCATCATCATCCTCGTCATCATCATCCTCATCATCATCATCGTCATCCTCATCGTCATCGTCATCATCATTTCTGCTTCACTCCCTTCTCATCTGGCTCCTCAGTTAAACTGTTCAAGAGGAAATCATGGAATGGTTTGGGTGGGAAAAAACCTCAAAGCCCCTGGAGTTCCCACCCCAAGGCAGGGACATCTCCCACCATCCCAGGTTGATCCAAGCACTGATGTCCAGCCTGGACTTGAATTCCTCCCCAAATCCCACCCCAATTCCCCTTTTCCAGTCTGGAGCCATTCCCTATGTCCTGTCCCTCCAGGCCTTTCCCAAAACTTGGCTCTCTTGGAGCCCCTCCAGGCCCTGGAATGTGCTGGAAGCTCTCCCTGGATCCTTCCCTTCTCCAGGAGAACATTCCCAGCTCTCCCAGCCTGGCTCCAGAGCCTGACATTGGATCCTTCTCCTCTCCAAGAAATTGATGGACCCAGGGGCTTCCCTTGGTTTGCGTGGGAAGGGACCTTTGGGATCATCCAATTCCGTGGCAGGGACACCTTCCCCATCCCAGGCTACTCCAATCCTTCCTTGGAAATTCCAGGGATTTGAGGCAGTCACAGCTGCTCTGGGAATTCCATTCCACCTGGGAATTCCTTCCCAAAATCCCACCCCAATCTCCCCACTTCCAATCCGGAGCCATTCCCTGGCTCCTGCCCCTCCAGGCCTTTCCCAAATTCCAGCTCTCCTGGAGCTCCTTTAGTCCCTGCAAGGGGCTCTGAGCTCTCCCTGGAATTTTCCCTTCTCCAGGGGAACATTCCCAGCTCTCCCAGCCTGGCTGCAGCCCTTGGAGCAATCCCATGGGCTCTGGAGAAGGGATTCTCCCGATGGCTCCAGGTGAGCTCAGCAAGGAGAGATCTTTGCTCAATCCCTTTTTCTCCTCCCATTCCACCAACACAAAAAGAATCCACAATTCCAAGGGCTTTTCCTTCAGGGATCCCCAGGGAATCTGCACATCCCGCTGGGAATCTGCGCTTGCAGGCGGCTCAGAGCGAGGGCAGGATGATCCCAGCTGGAAATTCGCATCCCTGTCGGGAATTCGCATCCCTGGCTTTTTTGGGACGGGAGGAGCAGGAAGAGCAGAGCCCAGATCCCAGTGAGAACTCCAGCAGCCCTGACCCAGCCCCTCTGCGGATCCCTGGAGCCCCTTTGGATCCTGTGAGGGGCTACAGGCTTTCCATGGAGCTTCTCCTTTCCCCGGAACATTCCCCCTTTTCCAGCCTTCCCTCCCAGCAGAGCTTCTGCTGATCCTGGGGCCTCCCGAGTGCGGAGCAGGAAGGAGCAGCAGCCCCGGAGCGGCTCTGCCGGAGCACAAAATCTGAGCTTGAGGTCCAAAGGGAACTTTTCAATCCCAATATTCTGATATTCCACACTTTTCCTGGGAATTCTTAGCTGTGTTTCCCAGCTGAGTGACCAAGGGACAAAGTTCAGGTGCTGGAGGTTGAGGTGGAGAAATTTCTTCTCGGCTCCCGTGGCCAGCTGGAAAAGCAAATTTTCCTGGGAGGATTTTGGAGCCTTAATCCCATCAAACACCTCCTCCCTCCAACAAAAAACTCTGGAATTCCCAAATTAATTCCTCTCATGAGCATTCCTCCTTTTCCTCACGGCTGGATCATCCTGCTGTTGATGAGTGGGAGTTTCTCCGAGCGGTTTTCCAGCCACCAGGCCATGATCCGGCTGCTGCTGGGGTTGGAAATGAAGATTCCTGGGATATTCTTCATCCCAAAATACAAATTCCTGCCTTCCTGGAGGCTCCATCCATTCTGCCTTTGGGCACAGTTTGTAGGCTTTTAATTATCTTTAATTACATTTAATTTTCAATCTCGAATTGAGGAAGGTTTAATCAAACTCCTCAATTTCCTCAGGTGAAATGTTGGGATTTTTCCTTTTCCTGAAAAAAAAACCAACAAAAAACCCAGCTTTACTTGAAATTTCAAAGAAATTCCCAGATTTTCTTCCTGAGCTCTTCAGAATCCCAAAGGAATGTTCCCTTCCAGAGGTTTCCGTGGAATGCAGCTCTTGGAAATTCCCCTTTCCTTCCTGGATAAGGATCCTGGACACAGGGATGGCGTCCAAAGGCTGATCCCAAACAACCTGGAGGTCCTGAGATCCAAGGAAAAGCTTCCTCGGATTTGAAATACGTTGGAATTTGTGCTTTTCGTACTTTCCTCCAGTTTTTTTCATGGATCAGACACATTTCTTCCCCAGAATTTGGGAATGAAGGGAGCTGAGGGATTTATCAGATCCATCTCCAGAATTTGGGAATGAAGGGAGTTGAGGTCTTGGATTTATCAAATACATCTCCAGAATTTGGGAATGGAGTTGAGATCTTGAATTTACCAAATCCTTCCCCAGAATTTGGGAATGAAGGGAGCTGAGGTCTTGGATTTATCAGATTCCATCCAGAATTTGGGAATGGAGTTGAGGTATTGGATTTATCAGATTCTTCTCCAGAATTTGGGAGTGAAGGGAGCTGAGGTCTTGGATTTATCAGATTCCATCCAGAATTTGGGAATGAAGGGAGTCAAATCCCTGAAATTCAGAGGATTTCCAACCCTCCGTTATTCCCAGATTTTTGTGTGTCCTGTGGGATCTCGGGATGAAGAAGAGGAAGAGATCCAGAAAGAAAAGGAGGAAATCTCCCCCACAAAAATAAAAAAGTGGGAAAAACTTGCGTGGTCCATTTGGGATCAGACACATTCCTGCCCTGGAATTTGGGAACGAAGGGAAAAATGGGAATTCCATTCCCACAGGGAGAAGCTGAGCACTTTGTGAGGTGAATTTTTAACAATGCCTCAGCAAATCCCTGAAGTTCAAAGGATTTGCAGCCCTCTGGTATTCCCAGATTTTCCATAATCCATCTCAGGATCGTGCAGGAGATGCCAAAATCCCATAAAAAAAAAAAAAGCAGGAAAAAAAATCCATTTGGGACTCAAAATCCACAAAAAACCCAACAAGAGACACAAATGCTGGGAAAAAAAATCCCAGCTGGAAAAAAATTCCTTAAATCCAGCAGACAGTGAAAGTTGGGAGTGGAATTTGTTTGTTCAGGTGGGGCTGGTTCAATAAAGCTTTGTTCAAAATTGAGATTACAAAGGGTCCTTTGTGTGTGCCTCGACTTCCCCGGATCGGGAATTGATCCCGGAGATCTCCCAGTGCAATTCCAGGCTGGAATTTTATGGGAACCTCCAAGGCTTCCTTGTCAAAATGGGAAAAGGCTATAAATGATGATTTTATTTTATTTTTATTTTTTCTGTTGTATCCTTCAGGGTTTTTTTTTGGGACTTCGGGATGAAAAAGTTTTTCCTGCAATTCCCAGTGGGAAGTTTTGCACAGAGCTCCTTTTGATTGGAGAAAATCAGGATTTTCAATCCAAAATTCCAAGTTTTGGTGGAGAATTCTGGCAATGTTTTGGCTTCCTCCTTCCCAAAAAACTTCACCATTCCTTGTCTTGGCTGTGCTGGAAGCTGTGGAAAACATGGAATTTATCAGTTCTGGGATAATTAATAATAATAGTAATAGTAGTAGTAGTAGTAGTAATAATGATAATAATAATAATATATAAAAATAAAAATTATTTTGTTTTATTTAATTATTATATTTTTAAATTTTTTTCTGCTCACAGGTATCCTCTGAGATTAAATAATAATAATAATAATAATAAATAATAATAATTATTATTATTATTCTGCTCACAGGTACCATCTAAGATTAATAATAATAATAATAAGAAGAATTATTTAATTTTTTTCTGCTCACAGGTACCCTCTGAGATAATAATACTAATAATAATACTAATACTACTACTAATACTACTTCTACTACTAATAATAATTTTTTTCTGTTCACAGGTACCCTCTGAGACGAGGCAGCTCCTTCACATTCCTGACTCCAGGCCCACACTGGGATTTCACCCTGGTGAGTGGAACAGCTGGAAAAACAGGAATTCCAAGGTGAAGGAAAAACAGGAATTCCGAGGTGAAGGAAAACCAGGAATTCCGAGGTGAAGGAAAACCAGGAATTCCGAGGTGAAGGAAAACCAGGAATCCCGAGGTGAAAACTCTGGAAAAGAAGGAAAATCAACATTTTCCTTGGCCTAATTCCCAAGTTTTCCAGGCTCCTGAGCTCAGCCAGAAGCTGCTTTTTGCACCCAGGGATTCAGGGAATTCTGGATACTTTTCCTTGCTGAATTCCTGATTTTCTGAAGGGGTTCCAAAGTGTGGATATAAAATGAGGGGGGTTTTTTTATTCCTTAAGTGCAAAAAAAATCTGTATTTTATTGGTGTGGAGAAACTCTTCAGAGGAACTTTTTGATTTTATTGGGAGCTCTTGCCCTTGGAAAGTGATAATTCCATCCTCAAACCCAGAAAATTTCCACTTTCCAAGTTTTTTCCATAACCCTGGAATTTTGGGATGAGCTGATCTAGCCTCCAGCACAACCAAACCCACAAATTCTCATAAATTCAAATTTTCCTGAATTTTAGCAACTTTCAGCTCCATTAAATCCCAGAATTTTTAATTATGACAAAGCCTTAAAAATTCTCCTTTTAAATCTCAAAATTCTGCGCTCAAACAACACAAATTGAAAGTTTTTTTTGGGTTTTTATTTTTGCCCAAATATTCCTATACCAGTCCCAAAAATCCTCTTTTCATGGGATAATTTGTGGAGCTGTTTGGCCAAAAGGCTGGAAAACAAACCTGGATTGGGAAGAAACCAGAATTTTCCATTCCTGCCAAAGTGGGATGGATTTTTAGGGAATGATCAGTGCTTGTTCCACATCATCCTTAAAAAAAAAAAAAAAAAAATTAAATCAGTTTGGGTCTAACTGGAAGCAAAATTCCTCCTGGAATCTTTTCCTTTATTCCTTTTTATTTCCAAGGATTTCCTGCTGGGGAATTGGAGCTTTGTGAATTTCACAATCCCAAAATCTCATTAAAGTTTCTGATTTCAGGTGGGCAAAAAAGCACCAAAAATCCCATTCTGATCCTTCCACAATTCTTCTGGAATTATTCTGGAGGAGAAGTTAATTGGGATTTTTTTCCAATTAAAATCGTTGCTTCCAAAGAATTCTTGGAGCTTCCCTCAGAATCCTTCAAATTCCATGTTCAAATCAAATCCCAAAATATTTTCATTTTCCTTCCCGAGCAATTTAATTTTTTTTTTTAAGTTTCTGCTTTACAAAGGCCCTAAATTGGATCTGAGGGTTGAATAAATTTGGGAAAAAGGAATTTTTTCCAGAGGATTTAGGAGCCGGGAAAAGGGGAATTTCCCATTTTAATAACTTCGGGAAAAATAATTTTTTTCCACAGGGGAATTTTCCACTTCAATATATTTGGGAAAAAGGAATTTTTTTTCCACAGGTTTTAGGAACTGGGAAAAGGGGAATTTTCCCTTAAATAAATTTGAGAAAATGAGTTTTTCCACACAATTTTGGGAGCTGTAAGATGGAGAATTTCCCATTTTAATAACTTTGGGAAAAGGAATTTTTTCCACAGGATTTGGGGGCTGGAAGATGGGGAATTTCCCACTTCAATAAATTTAGGAAAAGGAATTTTTTCCACAGGTTTTGGGAACTGGGAAAAGGGGAATTTTCCCTTCTAATAAATTTGGGGAAAAGGAGTTTTTTCCACACAATTTTGGGGCTGGGAGACAGAGAATTTCCCACATTAATAAATTTAGGAAAAGGAATTTTTTCCACAGGATTTGGGGGCTGGGAGAAGGGGAATGAGTGGGATCACAGACAGTGAAAAACCCAAAAATGGGAGAAAAAACCCATTTTTTCAGTTGCTTTTCCATCCCGTGGCTCCAAATCCTTGGATTTGAGCCGTTTTCCCTGGAATTTTCCTCTTCTGGCACAACTCAGCTGGCTCTGGAGCGCGATGTCTAGGATTTTCTCCAGAATGGGGAAGCAGCCAATGGAATTGAGTCTCGCCAGTTTCAAAACAACGTTTTGGCCTCATTTTTGTGTCTGGGTTTGGGCTGGAGCTCGATGGGAAAAATGTAAATTTCACCACCCCAGAAGAACCAATAAATCCCAAAAAAAAAAAAAAA